TGCCCAGGAAGCGGCGGGAGGGCCGCCCTCGCCTCCTGGGGAGGATGTCTGCCTCCTCGGGGCCGGTGTTGGAGGACGGGTCCTTGTTCTCAGAGTCGGACTGGCTGATGCTGGGCTCCGCCAAGCTCTCGCTGCTCCCGTTCTCCAGGCCAGAGGAACTGGCTGCTTCGGTGTGCTCTGGGACGTCACCAAGGGCTCCACCTCCCCTCCTGCTCACCAGGACACAGCACAGCTGCACCGCGCACCCTCCCTGTGTGTGCCACCTACCGCTCCCTGCTCCAGCCCCGCACGGGGCTGCTGCCTGCCGCTTCCCTCACCTTCAGGCACGTCCTGGGGCGTGTCCTCCAGACGAGGAAACTTGCGGGGTCTCCCTGGGCGTCGACGTGGCCTCTCCTCGCTGGATGTGGGGACAGTGCGGCCGTACTTGGGCTGCCGCCCACGGGGTTCGTCCTCAGCTGGGTTATAGTCACTGTCCTCTGCAGGTAAGTGGCCCAAAATGTCAGAGAGAGACTGGGAAAAGACTAAGCTATGTAGGACATGAGGAGGACGAGTCCTACCTTCAGGGTCATCAATAGCACCAGCGTCCATGATATCATCCTCTTCTTCTTCTTCTGGGACATCCTCCTCCGCAGTCTTTGTGGCAGATCCCCCCTTTCGTGGACGCCCTTTCTTCAAAGCCAGAGCTGAACCCACTGCCACAGAGAAGAGAATTAGAGCTCTTTACCAGCCTGTATGGGAGAATTAAAGCTCTTTACCAGCCCGTATGGCAGAACAGGCCCTCACACCCGTTCTCCTCCCCTTGTTCCTTCTCCAGAGGGAGCAGAGCCCGGCTACAGTAAGGCAGTTTTTCCTCAGCCCTTAGCACGCACCTGGGTGGAAGTGCCGCTCTCTCATGTGGTTGATAAGCGTTTTCTTGGAGACACTCTTGTACTGACACATCTTGCACTTGAACTGCTGCACCACCACCACCTCCATCATCTCTTCCAGGGTCTCCATGTCTGGCTGCTCCAGCTCCTCCCCACCATCTGCCTCTCGGGCCTGATCTGGCTGCGTGGGCAGCTCCAGCACTTCCGACTGCTCGGAAGGGTCTGAAGGACCAGGCTGGTCCAGGCATGTGGAGGTTGGTCCATCAGCAACAGCTTCTATCGCCAAACTACTGGCCAGAGCAGAGGTGGCCATCTGGGACACCATGGGGGCACCTGAAACACCAAAAGCAGCTCAGCCAAAGAGCAGACCCCTGCCTGCACCCACACCTGGGGCACAGGGCTGACCAGCAGCTCAGTTACAAGCTCCCAACAGTTTGCACATCCATGGGGCCTCTGGTACAGGAGCTGCGGCCGATGTCGCTGGGACACCCACTCCAGGCCACCTCACTCTCACAGAAAAGGTTCAGGGGCAGAGACAGCCACCACCAGCCACTCCAGGGCGCGTCCTTACCGTCGTCGGGGCCTTGCAGAATGAGGTACTGCGTAGTCTCTGCGCCGCCATCCTCTGCACTGGTCACAGCAATGCAGCCTGGGAGGAAGAAGAGGGCAGAGTGATAACTGCCAGACACAGGGGCTGCAGAGTCACCGGGGCTCTCACAGCTTCAGACAGAGGCGAGAAGGGGTGAGGAAGAGTCTGGCTCAAGGGACAGAGCCTGCCCTGGGCTGCTGGCACTGCGGCTGAA